CACACGGAGTACACTGTTCAAGTATGGAATCCATGGTTGAACCATGACAAGAAGGCTCTAGAATGTCCGCAAAGGTTGGCAACCAAACTGGTAAAAGGTCTGTACAACAAGACATATTCCGAAAGACTGTAAATATTCGCACTTCACTCATCTCAATACCGTCGACTTCGGGGAGGAATGAACGAATCTTGGCGTACCACATACTGCGTCAAATCAACCACTCTTATCGTTCTTTGTTGACATCCATTGAAGTTGAGGACCAAAAGCACCTTGATTACCAGCATCACTCGTTTACAGTCAGAGTGTGTGGTGTATGGAATTCACTTCCATGCCATGTTTTATGTGCTTCCACAGTGGAACTGTTCAAAGTGCAGCTTGATAAAGCATTGGAGCACCTAACATTTTGAAATCTATGGATGATCTACATATGGCCATTATTTTCTATTTACACAATTATCCAAAATAATCTGTAAAAATCCTATGGTTTATGATTAGTTTTTTCTTTGTTAAATCCCGTAATCGATACAGTGGCTGTGTTCTTTGTATCCACCGCTGTATTTTACGATCCAATGTCTGTAAAATTGTATCCAGAAATGTTTTTAAAACGGCAACTGTTATGGTAATCAAATGAAATGTATAATTATTCAGCGATGGTATCCACTGATGCCACTTAGCCATTCACGCCTCACCAGTTGACGACGACCAACAAACAGTCTGCAAACGATGTGCGCCAAATCGCACGACTGCGACCCCCGCTGAATGTTTGCCAATCGGAGCTACACACTGCACATGAATTGGTTTCGGTCAGTCTATATCGCAGAAGTCACCACGTTTATATGAACGTTTGTCTTCCGATTTCTCCATCAAGGTTTTCCAACCTGCAATAGTTTTGCTTTGCACCTTCAAAGTTCAAAGGGATGCTATATAACTGGGTGCACCGAGTTCTGTTCTGAAACTAGACGGTCAGGAATTAGCCGAAGCTGACTGCATCTCCTACTTAGGTAGCTGCGTGACCAACGACGGTAGCGCATCAAAGGAGATAACCGCCCGCATTTCCAAGGCTCGAGCAGCGCACGCAGGACTAAAACAGCTGTGGTGGCGACGTGACGTGTCACTAAAGTTGAAAAGTCGCGTATACCGCGCCACCGTATGATCAGTTCTGCTTCACGGTTGTAAGACCTTGAATTTGAGAGTAGAAGATATCCGTCGTTTAGCAGTGTTCGACAATCGATGCCTACGTAGTCTGGCCTAAGTGGGATGGAATGAGCGGGTTAGTAACTTGGAGGTAAGTCGTCGGGTGTTTGAGAATTCACCGAACGACAACTCACTATCTCATCGAATCCAGCTCAGTAGGCTCCGTTGGTTAGGACACGTTTTGCGTATGTCCGACAGTCGCCTACCGCACCGCGCCTTGTTTGCAGTGGCTGTTACAGACTGGAGAAAGCCACGTGGAGGCCAGAAGATGACGTGGAGATGAGGCATAAATAAGTGCATAGAGTGATTAGGTAGAGTAAGTGTCTCTCGCCTTCCGGGTTGGGGTCCGAGAGACTCCAGACCAGAATGCTTCAAATTATATGTATGCACAGTTGGGTTGTGTACTTTGTGTGTTGACCATGGAGGTTCGCTTTCTTTTCCCGTCCCTAAAAATAAGCGCAATCCCTGTCTTCCTTACACATTCTCACTTATCTTGTATGCATTATGAGTTTGGCAGCGATCAGTGAAGTTCGCTTCACTGTATAACGCTGTACAATGATGAATGATGATGATGATAGTTTTGCTTGGTACCTCAACTGGAATGGTAGCGTTGCTTCAAGCACCAGTTTTTTGTTTCGATAGGACTTCAATGTTCTGATTCAGTTTATGCATTCCAATTACAGTCTGCTCGCGGCGTTCTACGAGAAGAATGAAAATTGACTTTATTGCACACCTGAACTGGACGCGTGCACTATTCACGTGCGGCAGACAATTGTCACTAGACATGCGCAGCCATGTTCGGTATGCGTTTTGCACCATCAAAGTGTAACATTTTGGTACAAGATCAGGTTGGTCCAGCACCCAACCTTACTCTAAGTGGGCAAGTAATAGAGCGTGCACAAGCTGGTTATTTGAGCAGCTACATTTCACCCGGTGGACGCATCATCGATGAAATGTTAGCTCGCATACTGAAGACTCGATTGGCATTTGTCAACTTGAGACATCTGCGCTAGGCGACGCAGAAACTTAAGTGTTAAGAAAAAGGGATAAAGATAAACTGTCGGTGTTTGAATACTGCTGTCGGCGCAGCATTTCACGAATCTGTTGGGAACGGCTGATGAACAATGCTGGCATTAGGCTCGGAGTAATTGCTAGTCGCGGTAGCTCACTGGAGCAAATTATCGACCTCCATAGATTACGTTGTTTGGGGCATGTGTTACGCATGTCACCAAATAATTTGCCCTGACTAGCGACGTTCGCCGAGGCCAGCAGTGAGTGGAATGCCAAGGATGGTCAAGCTAAGACATGACACGCGGGTATGAAAACCCTAAACAGGAGATTCGATCATCTGGGTCCCGTTAGACATCCTGGATGGGATCAGTGTAATCAATAGTTAGAGACCCTGAGCGATATGGCTAAGAGTCGTAAACAGTGGCATCTTCTCAATTTCTTAGCAACCTTAGTGCACTGAAATTATCCATTTCATATTTGACTTTACTTTCAATTTTTCCTGTCTTTCTCCTACTGTTCATCCAAATGGGCAACAAAAAGACAGCAACCAAAACCGGCGCAAGAAATTGCATATTTAATGGTTGTTCAAACTGAACCTAATAATGTAAGTGTAAGTCTTGTTATTGGTCATAACCTCAATTTGGTATCAAAAAAGTTAGCATGGGCAACAACTGACTGTATTCCACGATCAAGCAACACGACCGTTTCGGTGATTGTATACGTTTTGTCCACTGTTCATCCCATTCTTACTTCAAAAGTCTATACTTCGAGGTGACACTGATCGCACAGTCAGAGTTAAACTCAAAATACTGTTAACAGTGTATTCGTGCGGCTTGTGCAATGTAAATATATATCTATATATACACAGTAGCACTTGGTTCTTTTTAAATATTTGTATTTTGAGGTTTCATTCATGCGCTTTCACATAGTAATCAACCGATGAAAGTTTTAATTTTCATTTTAATCAAATTACTGGTATGCCATTCCGTCTGTCTTTTGTGAGGTTATTGAACAAATTAGTTCTCTGCTCAGCGATAGTTTAGCAGAGATTATTTGTAGTCCAATAATAAAACGGCCTTCAAGATTTAAAATATCACTACTATTTTGAAAAGAAAGCAATGACTGCTTTTGAAACAATCTCATCGATTTCTAGCTTCATAAACACTAAACACATTTCTATACTTCCTTCCAGCCCCAAAGGACTTACTCGGATTTGTGGAAGCTCATTTGATATTTGGATTACCCATTGGTGAGGTAAGTGATAAATGATGTCCCTTTGGGATTTCGTGGTCGTTAAGAGGCGCTTGTTCTGCATTCGAAATCGCTATAACTATTCTTTTCTGGATCATCAGGTTCAAGGTTCGAACCCTGACAACGCCAATCAGCATTGGTTATGAGCAGTGTTGCTACAACCCAGCTCACCACCACTATCCAAATGCGTACTATCCGCACTTTTGAGAGCAAATGTACGTCTCTTCAATAGGATTTGTTGTTTCATGAGATGTGGCTCATGTTTCTCGTTCCAGTCATGTTAGTAACTTGAGACAACCCAGTCGCTTGAGTGAAACCGACTCAAAAAAGGATTATCGATCCACTGGCAGTCGGAGCCGAAAGGGACTTGGTTTAGTCCTTAGGTTGCGCGAAAATGTGATTTTGACAGTGCATAAGAGTGTAAAAATCTGAGAAGACAAGGTGTTGGATTGTAGAGATCGGTAAAATTTGCATGTATGTGCAGACTGCAAAACTTTGGATTCGCGGTTTCGCAGAGAGCGGTTGATATAAAACCTCAGTATGGGCAGTAGTGGGTGTCCCAGGTTACGGCTT